TTCTTGTAAAGCTGGGAATGGAACCACCATTTGACCCAGCTATTGCCCTTCTCGGTCTATTCCCTAAAGACCTAAAAAGAGCATACTACAGGGACACTGCTACATCGATGTTCATAGCAGCACAATTCACAATAGCAAGACTGTGGAACCAACCTAGATGCCCTTCAGTAGATGAATGGATAAAAAAAAATGTGGCATTTATATACAATGGAGTATTACTCAGCATTAAAAAATGACAAAATCATGGAATTTGCAGGGAAATGGATGGCATTAGAGCAGATTATGCTAAGTGAAGCCAGCCAATCCCTAAAAAACAAATGCCAAATGTCTTCTTTGATATAAGGAGAGTAACTAAGAACAGAGTAAGGAGGAAGAGCATGAGAAGAAGATTAACATTAAACAGGGATGAGAGGTGGGAGGGAAAGGGAGAGAGAAGGGAAATTGCATGGAAATGGAAGGAGACCCTCATGGTTATACAAAATTACATACAAGAGGAAGTGAGGGAAAAGGGAAAAAAAAAAACCAAGGGGGAGAAATGAATTTCAGTAGATGGGGTAGAGAGAGAAGAGGGGAGGGGAGGGGAGGGGAGGGGGGATAGTAGAGGATAGGAAAGGCAGCAGAACACAACAGACACTAGTATGGCAATATGTAAATCAGTGGATGTGTAACCGATGTGATTCTGCAATCTGTATACGGGGTAAAAATGGGAGTTCATAACCCACTTGAATCAAAGTGTGAAATATGATATGTCAAGAACTATGTAATGTTTTGAACAACCAACAATAAAAATTATTTTAAAAAATCAATTAACTTCAAAATGAGCTAGGTAATCCATGCTTGATAACCTACCTAGAAAACCACTAATTTAATCAGACATCAAACATGTGGTTTAATACACTAATGCTATGATAGATTAGTGAACCAACTTGGCATTAAAGCTGTCAGCTCCACTATCATGTCGTAACTTATATGCATATGTATTTATACAGCTTGCAAAATATTCATATATATATTCCCAGTTTCAAAATAAGGTCTTCATACTTAAACAATTATGGCTTGATATATGTCAAATTCATAAATATCAACAAAATCCAGACTGGAAACTCAGACTTTTTCCTTCATTCATTTGTGTATGTAGTATTGATTTATATATATTTTTAACTGAAAAATAAAAAATTGCAAAGATTTTTTATGTAGAATATGATGTTTTCACATATTTATACATTGTAGAATGGCACAATTGAATTAATATATGCATTATTTCACAACACATTTTATGGTAAGAACACTTAAAATCTATTCTCAGCGATATACAAAATATAACATGTTAACCACAGTCTCCATATTGTACATATTGAATTTATTCCTTCTGATATTTTGTATCCTTTGAACAATACATCTGTAAACCTTCCCACCCCTACACATAATCCATGTCTCTAGTACCACCATTCTACTCTACTTTTAGTAATTCAACTTCTTTGCATCCCATCTATCAGTGATATCATGAATTATTTGTCTTTCTGTGTGTGGTTTATTTTACTTAATCTAATATTTTCTAGGTTCAACCATGCTGTTGTGGACAGCACAATTTCTTTCATTTCACTATTTAATGCTAAGTAATATTTCATTGTGTATTTATAGGACATTTTTATGCTATCATCCATTGATGGATATTAAGGTTGCTTTTCTATCTTGGCTATTGTGAATAATACTGATATGAAATATTTCCTTTGGATATATACCCAGTAGTGGGGGTGCTGGATTACATGGTAATTTTGTTTTTAATTTTCTGATGAACTTCTACATTTCTTCTTTTTGAGGAAATTCCATCCTATTAATATTTTTGAGAAGGATTCATTCTGTTTTTCATAATGACTATATGAACTTACATCTCCATCAACATGTGAAAGAGGTTTTTTTTTTCCTTCACATATTTGGCAAACCTTTTGTTATTTTGAAAATAACTATTCTAACAAGCATTAGGTAATATCTTAATGTTTTAATTTGCATTTTGAACAATAATGATATTGAGCATTTAATATACTTGTTGGAAATTTGGATGCCTCCCTTGGTCTACTCAGCTTCTTTCCACATGTTTTAATCAATTAAATTGTTTTCTTGCTAAAAAAAAAAAAAAGAATATCTTTCTGGAAGAAAGAAATAATGACTTGAGCTACACTTACACTTAACAAGACATTTATAGGACATTCCTTCTAGTAGCAACAGAATATGCCTTATTCTCAAGTGTACATGGAACAATCTCTACAGAAGATCATTTGTTAAGCTACAAATATAACACATTGTAACAAATTGAAGAGGACCAAAGTCATATCACATAGGTTTTTGGTGGTTTTTTTTTAATGGTATGAAACAAGAAATAAAATAGTTTGGGATGTAGTTCAGTGTGTTTCACTTGCCTAGCATGTGTGAGGTACTGGGTTCAAAAAAAAAAAAGAGTCATTTCAAGCTAGTTCCTTAAAACAGAGATTGTGTTTAGGAGAAATTAAACTGGCAATAATCTTTTCTGGGAATTGTCAAAATTAATTTTACAGTAGTATAATTGCCATTTTGGCCTTCCTATTTATGTTACTGAAAAATTAGTCATCTTATATGTTTAAAGAAAATCACTTATTCAGGCAAACTCAAGTTGTGAAATAAACCATAAATTAAGAAATTGTATTTCTTCTATCAGTCAAGACCAGTTTTTCTTAAGCAGCTATGGGGGTGGGAAACTGAAAGACTCATTTTGCCTGTTATTTTTATCTCTCTTTCAATTTCATTTACAAGATTTTCAGCACTGAAGCTTTTTAATCAGCCTTTCCCTTTTCTTCCTTTTTCCAAAAATTGTCAAGAAAAATGTTTATTTCTACCAATATCTATGTCCAAATCGTATAATATTATTTTTTATTAGCAAAAATATTCTTATAGAGAGCTTCTTTGCATGCTATGCAGCACCGTAGACATCTTAGAAAATCATGTGAAAAGATAGCTGATTCACTCTGTACTGGTATTTGATTGCTTTCAAGCTCTCAGAGAAATTTATGCTTTGGAAACTATTTTCCTGTTTGCAAGTTATAAATTGAAAAAAAAAAGGAACCAGTATGAGCATATAATAAACAATTATTGAACTTCTACTTATGTGGTCAGTAAATACATGCCTGCTTATAACATATCACTGCACTTTATTCCCTGAGCTGAAGTACAAGTAGTCACATGCCCTTGCTTTGTGCCTTGTCCCACTGATGCCAAACAGTGTTTTCTGAAGGAAAGGTAGGAAATTTGAAGTTAGAGGGATTGGGTTTGGATTCTGGCTCTGATGTTTTTTCATGCCCCTAGAGAAGGTTAACTATTTAATGCCTCTAAGATCAGTGTCTTGATCTGTGAAATGGGAATATAAATACCTGCAATATTGAGTTGCTGGAAAATGTAAATGAGTCAGCATCTGAAACAGAGAAAGTACTTCATAGAAGTTGGTTCCTGGCCTAGACCTTTCCTCCTCCATTTCCTGCCTTTGATCATGGTAGGACTCTTCTGTTCCTATTACATAATAGAGAAATGTTCTGTTATTACAAGGATACAGTGAAGAGTGCAGGGAAAATTTAGGACCAGAAAAAATTTCTGGACTAAGCCTACTCTCATGTCATGAACATTACCCCAAACTAGGTCGAGCTGTGTCTACATATTTCAATTTAAAAATACTCTCTGGAAGAAAAGAACCACTAGGGTTCTTTTGGGTAGATATTCTGGGCTAGGACTGACTTTTCAATATCAAAAAATATTATTTTCAGGCTGGGGCTGTAGCTCAGTGGTGGAGCACTTGCCTTACACATGTGAGGCACTGGGTTTAATCCTCAGCACCACACACAAAAAAACAAAAAACAAAAACAAAAACCATAAAAAGATACTGTGTCCATTTACAACTAAAAAATATTTTTAAAAATATTATTTTCAAGGGCTGAGTCTATAGTTCAGTGGCAGAGAGCTTGCGTTGCATGTGTGAGGCACTGGGTTTGAACCTCAGCACCACATAAAAATAAACTAATAAAATAAAGGCATGCTGTCTCTATAATAGCTACAAAAAAAATTTTTAAATATATTATTTTGGGGCTGGGGTTGTGGCTCAGAGGTAGAGTGCTCGCCTACCATGCATGAGGCACTGGGTTCGATCCTCAGCACCACATAAAAATAAAAAAATAAAGATATTTTTAAAAGGCCACTTTAAAAAGTATATATTATTTTTAAGATAGAGTTGCCAATTTTTTAATTGGTTATTTTAGATTGCTTTAGAAGACACACCCATGATTGTTGCTATAAGCCTAAAACAAACTCTTGAGTCAGCAAATTGGAGATTTTAAAGTTTTCTTGAAAACAGATTTATATATAATGTGTCAATCAGAGTCCAAACAGGAGACAAAAACATACTAGTTACTTGAACAGAGAGAATTTAATGAAAGGTTGCTTAACTAGGCAACTGAAGGATAAAAAAGAAGGTATCATGGCAGTAGCAACTACAGGAAGTAGCTCCCACCCTGGGGGCTGGGAAGCAGAAGGGAAGTAGCCAGAATTATTAAAACTTAGAAATGATGAGAAGGGGCCCCACAGAGGTAAAACTCAAACCTAAAACAAAGCTGTGTCTTAGCTTGTGCTGTGTCTCTGGGCTGGCATTAGGGACACTATGGGCCTGTGACCAAACTTTAAGTATGTGGTACTGGTTCCCTGGTGTCTCTGAGGCTGGGAACATGATGAGGCTGGGAACATGATGAGGCTGGTTTTGCAATTGTTGGAAAAACCGCAAATTGGATTCAGCTGCTACTATGGTTAAGCATTACTGTTGCTGGGTGAAGATGACTTGCTGGAGTGATCTTACACAAACCACAAGCTGACGAGAAACCTATGATGAACAAACAGAAAGGAACACACCCTTTCTCCCTCCTCCATCCTTGTTGTCTTCCTCTAGCATCTACTGACATAGCTAGCAGGAGCAGCTAGCTACACAGAAATGATGTTTTCAGAGTTCCAGGGCCAGTAGTGCAAAACTGTGCAGGAAGGGTAACGACAACAACTTAATGTGTAACTTGCTTGAAGATAGATCTCTATATGCAAAGGTAAGAAAAATTGAGGAAGTAAGTGATATTTTCTTTGTTTCATTCTTTCCCAACTTCTTATTCAAGACTTAATTTTCCACAGTGTAATGGGATTTGGAAGAAGATACAAGACTGCGTGCGATAGTCAGCTTTTTGTTACTGTGACCAAAATACCCAACAAGAACAATTTAGAGGAAGAAAAATTTATTTTGATTCATGGTTTCAGAGATTCAGTCCATGGTCATTCAATTCTATTTGTCTGGGCCAAAGGTGAGGCAGAACATAATGGTGGTAAGAAATGGTGGAAGAATGCTGCACCATTCATGATGGACAGGAAGCAAAGAGAGGAAGGGGAAGGGACTACAAGGAAGATGACCTCTTCCAAGGCACTCTTCCAGTGACCCACCTCCTCCAGCCATACCCCACCTGCCTATAGTTACCACCTAGTTAGTCCATTTAAACTAGGATAAGCTAATTAGGTTATAGCTCTCATAATCTAATCATTTCACTTCTGAATATTCCTACATTGACATAGGCACTTTGGGGGACACCTCCTATCCAAACCATAACGAAGACCAAATGTGACCCAATATTTCATCCCCACTTTTCCATGACACCAGTAAATTCATACATTTGATTTCACAGATTGTCAAGTTTTCCATATTTGTGGCAACAGACTTAGAGTTGATTGCTTTTTATTTTGTCAAGTGATGCCATTAAGTACTGCCTATGATTTCACTAAGAGAACATTTTACGCACCAACACTCAGGAAGAACATAATCTCAGAGTAAAGCATAGTTCTTAGTTGAATTGTTTTGAAAAACTCACTGCATGGGTTTTCTCTCATCCAGCGAGGATGTCCACAGAACAGGATAGAGGAGAGCATGGCTGCAGAGTCACTAATCAAGACCTCCGGAAACCAAGCAGAAAGCAGGTATGATTTTATTCGAAGTTACCATGTATATATACTCAGGCAGTGGCTAAGCAGATTACAGGCAGCCACCAATACAATTTCTGGCCAACTGTCCTTGCAGGAACCAATTAAGGAGTGGGCCGTGGAACAAGTACAGGGACTGCAACTCATGGCTTCATGCCCAGGGCTGATCCTAGAGGGTAAGCTGTTTGCGGCTCACATGCCTAGCACCAGGGAGTGGTTTGCCACTCAGAAGCCTTAATGTATGCCATGTATGCAGTACTCCATACACTTGTCCTCACATCTCACTGTTGAAATACATATACTGAGGGAAGGTAAGAAAAATATTGATGTTTTCACATTTGTATGGATTTTATACTAATAATAATAATAGTAATAGTAATAATAATAATAATATCATTGAAAGCTCACTACAAACTGCAGTTATGATGAACACTACATATGTATCAATTACTTAAAATTCCCCTAACGTCTCCTGGTGCAACCCATTATCACTTCTATAACACATTCAGATAAATACATATTAGTGAAGACGTGTACTTAAGGTAACACAATTAAGTGGCAGAATAATGCCTAGCAGCCAATCTTCTGACAACAAATCTGGCTGAATTCCCTGGCTACCTGCACCTTTTGTCTGGAATTCCTTGTACACACCTCTTATATGGGTCTAGGCTAAAGTTATGGGCCATGGGCCCAGACATCATTGATTTTATCACTTAGCCCTACTCTCCTGGCCAAAATTTGTTCTACATTTCAAGATAAAATTTATATAACTTTCAAGTGCAACCTGATACATGTTGTTTTCTGCTCATGCATTATTTGAGTTGTATCCTTGACATGTTCATGATCAAACCCTTCCTAGGCTTAAAATATTGTGTTTCCAAAACAGCCTCTCAGAGGTGGGTGGAGCTTGTCAAATGCTAATCAATCTATTTACTGCAAGACCCCTGCCACACCAAGAAGGAAGCACCAAACAAGACTCCTCCAGCTGAAACCTTATCCCTGCCTTTGATGTACTCCCCGCTCTTAAATAAAAATTTGGGGCCTTTTTTAGTTGTTCAGTTCCAGCTCCTATCAGAACTGGAAGATCCATCAGGCACTCCTCGATTTATATCTAATTTCTGGTTCTGTCTTTATTTCTTATTGATTATTTCAGACTTTTTATTTTTCTAGGCAGCTCACAACTGGGCAGGAACCTGCTCTATCAGGGTGCTGGCCACCTTGATAAAAGATTAGCTCCCCCGACTTTGTGTTAACCTACTCCCTCTCTGTGTTCTGCACAGTGGTTCTAAACTATCTGTTTGACACAAATGTGCAATGTTTGATGCCTTTTTAATGAATGTTGACACTGGTGGTAGAAGGATTTGTAACTTAGATCATAGACATGGAGGAGATTTATGATCAGACACAAACCCAAAAGCAGTGAATTTAAGATCTCTTCATGGAAATTAATCAGAAAGTCTCTAATATCAACTTAGGGTATTTTTTATCTACTACTGTGAGGTACCTATTATTTTGCCTTTCATAAATGAGGAAACAGGTACAAAGAACATATGCTCCAGCTATCACAGCTACTGGCAGAACCATTATTTGCATGGAAGAATTCTGACTTCTGATCCAACACTGCACTGTCTCTTGGCAATAAGATCATGCATTTATCTTTATTTATTCAACATGTATTTACTTGAAACTTTTCTGGAGAACTCCACAGTGAGCAGAACATTCTGGTCTTTGATGTCATGAGGACTGCAGTCTTGTGTCTGATCAGACATTAATCAAATAATAATGAAAACTTACAAGTTTTCCATTAGAAGCAAAGAAGTGGTAGTGCCAAAAGACATGTAATAGAAATGAAAAAGCAAGAATTTAAATAAACATTAAGCACACATGTGCACATTCACATGTGTGCATGTGACACATGCAGAATTCTCTATGAAACAATTGTCATTTACCAATGATCTAGAAGACTTCAATGTGCCCTACAGTGCTACAAGAAAAACTTACATATTTTGTTATCTGTAGTAGCTCCAATCAGATAACAGCTAACAGGGGCTGGATTGTTAACAGCTGTCAGCTGCTTTGGACTACAGAACTTGTGGTTAATTTTGGTACTTAGGAATACAAAATTCTTTTTAAAAAAGTGGTTTATTCTGATTTCTTTTAACAGAGGCTTTTTTTCCTTTCTCCTTACCAGGCAAGTCTACTTGAATTATTCCTTTATGGTTTGACTGGGCTCCCCACTGCAGGTCTACATATTCACTCTACAACTGGTTCATTGATAGCTTTCATGTGAATGAAGAGCTAAGGAGCGTTTTCCCCCTCTTTACAAAAATAATACAGGTTTAGTATAGAAATATAGAAATGTGAGAAGTCACTGTAAATAAACCCAGTTTCATTTGTTTGCCACTCAAAAAGGCTGAGGACAATTTGTTGGGGTAAGGAAAAATATTTATTTGAAAAGCTAGTAAACCGAAGAAGAAGGGAGGCTGTTGCCAACAAAGAGCATCTTAGGGAACTTAGGGGTGCAAAGTGGCTTTATCGGGAGAGAAAGGAGGAAGAGAAGGGCAATGAGCAGGAAGGCAAGATGCTGAGTGCCTAGTGGTGACTTCATCCTCCAGGGCCTATATTTTCTTTTCTTTCAGAACATCCCTGAGATATCAGGTCAGTCCTTATAATTTTTTTGATAGACACAGTATTTCCCTACAAGTTAAGCATTATTTTACTTTTAATTAAAGAACAAAATTATCAAATCCTTGATTCATTCTTTGATGTTATCTGAAGACTATCAGCTGTTCTGGATTTTATAAATCTAGAAGAAACTTACTAATGAGTAAATTTTACAATGTATGTCCTTTTAGTTCCTTCTTCCAAGAATAGCTAAACTTACAGTTAATTATTAAGATGTGAAATGTGTCTTTCATTGGACAACAGAGGGAGATAAAGGCAAAAATTTTAACTTGTACAATAGTTTCAGTCAGAAGTATGTCTCATCTCCAGCCAAACTAGTTGGAGACTAATAATATATTGCTCAGCCTAATGATCTCCAAAATTAGTAATTTTTAAAGTCAATTAAAAGCAAGTAAAACTGGAGGGCTTATTTAGGATTTCCCACAGTTATATCACCACTCACTGGTATCAAGGTCATTTTATTCTGTTTTTCAAAACTGAGAAAGAATGGAAGTTACACATTCCTAAATCTAAGATTCTTTTGGATCCTCAAAGCCCACCTGATCTTTCTGTGTGTTAGACCCTTTTTGGATAAAACAGGTCAGTGGAAAATTGTGACGGTGGGTTGTTTTGGAGGAAGAGTGTGGAGGATGTAGGTTTTGATCTTGTTCTTACTCTACTCTGTACTATGTGGTCTCTCAATGTGGAAGAGAAAACGAAATCCACCGACTGGCAGTTCAGGGCTGTACTAATTGTTCCATGTAGTTGCCTGAACTCCTTCCAGTTCATTACTCTCCTGTCTTAAGAGTGTGTTCTTCCACTATGGAAAGCAGTATGGAGATTGCTCAGAAAACTTGGAATGGAACCACCATTTGATCCAGCTATTTCTACTCCTCAGTTTACACCCAAAGGATTTAAAATCAACACACTACAGTGATGCAGCCACATCAATGTTTATAGCAGCTCAATTCACAATAGCTAAACTTTGGAACCAACCTAGATACCCTTCAACACATGAATGGATAAAGAAAATGTGGTACATACATACAATGGAATATTACTCAGCTTTAAAGAAGAATGAAATCATGGCATTTTCAGGTAAATGGATGGAACTAGAGAATACCATGCTTATGGTGAAATGAGCCAATCCCAAAAGACAAAGGCTGATGCTGATCCATAGTGGAGGAGTAGGGAAGAATGAAGGAACTTTGAATTGTATAGAGTGGAGTGAGGAGAGGGAAAGGGCTGTGGGGATGGGAAGGATGGTAGAATTACCCTATATACATGTATGATTACACTACTAGTATGACTCTGAACATATATAGCCAGAGGAATGAGAAGTTGTGCTCCATTTGTGTACAATGTGTCAAAATTCAATCTACTCTCATGTATAACTTATTGGAAAAAAATAAATTTTTTTTTAAAAACCACTTAATTAAATGATCAAGAAACTCACCTTCAGTTCTGATATTTGCTATTCTAAAACTGTTGTAATAAAGAATTCAATCTAATTAATTTTTATATGAACTCAACAACCTACCCTGTACCAGAAATTGGACAAAGAGGTAGGGATATCTCTATAAAGTATATACTGTAGTTTAAAAAAAATCACAAGGAATTTATACCTTTTTTGCTTCTTATATGAATGCTTTCTGGCTCTCCACAGAACTGATTTTCCCTCAAATATAAATATCTTTAATAAATGTTTGCTTTGAGTTGGATTGAAAGGAAAAATAAGGTTTTCATTGCTAAATTGTTTTTTAAATTATTTATTTATTTATTGGTACAGGGGACTGAACCCAGGGGGCACTCCAGCCTTTTTAAATATTTTATTTAGTTACAGGGTCTTGCTGAGTTGCTTAGGACCTCACTAAATTGCCGAGGCGGGCTTTGAACTCACAATCCTTCTGCCTCAGCCTCCTGAGCTACTGGGATTACAGGTGTGCACCACCATACCCGGAAAAACATCATTTACTTTTTTTTATTCCCCTATTATTTTTCAAATTTTAAATTTATATCAAAGCAATACATATTCATAGTTTGTCTTTGCATTTTAAGATAGATTTCATTTAAAAAATTATATATATATATATATCTGTGGAGTGTATTTTTGCTTACTGTACATTATGGAGTATAACTTATTCTAATCAGGATCCATTCTGTGGTTGTATATGATGTGGAGATTTACTGATGGTGTATTCATTTATGAACATAGGAAAGTAATGTCTTATTCATTCCACTATTTTTCTTATTTCTATATCTCCTCCCTTTCCTTCATTTCCATTTGCCTAATTCATTAAACTTTTATTCTTCCCCCCTCCTCTTTGTTGTGTGTTAGTGTCCACATATCAGAGAGACTATTCAACCTTTGGTTTTTTGAGATGTGCTTATTTCACTTAACATGATTGTCTCCAGATCCATCCATTTACCAGCAAATATCATAAAGTCATTCTTTTTCTGGCTTTGTATATATACCACATTTTCTTTATCCATTCATCTGTTGTGCATAATATAAAATGGTTTGAAATAAAAATCTGCAACCCCCATCTCATTTTTCCCCACTTTAGACACCACAAGCAACCTCTTCAAATATTGAATGAACTTTTAGACTTTATTTTCATATGTAAATGCCTTAAAATTTTGTAGGAAAATTATGTTAATCCTAGTCATACTAATAGTCAAGTGGAATGGTAAAACCAAGGCATTTTTAGATGCATATAGTATCAGTCTTAGAGTTTCTCTTATGGTAATAAGTTGAATAGCTCCCTCCACCCCCATTCATGTCTACCTGGAACCTCAGAATGGCACCTTGTTTAGAAGTAAGATCTTTGTAGATGTAGCTAGGGATATTGAGACAAAATCAACATGGATTCAAGGAATTCCTAATTTAATGACTGGTGCCTTCATAAGAAAAAGAAAGGATACATAGAAACATGGAGAAAAGGTCATGTAAAGACAGAGGCAGAGATCAGAGTTATGTTGTCACAGGTCAAGGAATTCCTGGGGCCATAAGAAGATGGAGAGAGGCAAAGAAGGATTGTTTGCTAGAGTCTTCAGAAGGAGCATGGCCCTGATGACACCTTGATGATTCTAGACTTCTAGCTTCAGTAACCGTGACAGAATCAATTTATCCTATTTTACCTCTCAGTTTGTGGTACTTTGTTATAGTAGCCCTTGGAAATTAATTAAGTGAGTGAAGGACCAGCTTACTGTACCCAACTTACCTCAGTCCATTTCCTTCATTCTCACTCTTGTTCTTCTGTTCCCACAAGTTTATTAAAATTTTTGCTTAAATCAATATTTTCATATCTATCTATCTATTTATCTTGCTGCTTAGCCAAGTATACTATGATTTTATATTCTTTGTTGATTATTTCTCCATAATAATCATTATCTTTTCTTTTCAGTTACTTGCTTTTCTATGTACCTATTACAGTGCTTCCACACTGTACAGCAAACTGTCGACAAAATTTCCCATGTAAGGTATTTAATCTGTGTGTATGCATTTGTGTGTGTTTCTTGAAGCCCTCTGCCTCTGATCTAGTGTTATCTGGGATAGTTACAGATCTATCAACCTGGATCTTACTTGGCCATGGCCCTATGTAATCTCATTTCTTCTGTTGCCTTGGATTCCCAGTTTCTTTCCACTGTTTTGCTTGTTTTCTCATTTGGTGAAGCACATTTTCCATAATTTCTTGAGAAAAAATATTTGGAGGTAAATTTATTGATACTATATTCATCTAAAAATGCTTTGATTTCACCATTACTCTTGACTGAAAAGTATTGAAAATAATTTTCCTACAAAATTTTAAGGCATTTCCCAATGCATTCTTCATTTAGGAATACTATTGGGAAATTAGATGCTTTTGTAATTTCTGTTTCATTGTTTATGATTCCCTTTGCCCCTGAAAGCTTTTAGTGACTTCATTTACCCGAAACATGAAATATTATGATTTATCTTTACATGGGTGTTTTTTAATCTTTAATTTCTGCTGAATGCTACGCAGGCAGCCCTCTCAGTATGGAAATATATCTCTCAGTTCTGGGAAGTTCTCTCATCTTCTTTAATAGTTTTCATATGTTTCCTCCAGGGTTTGTGAAATTGATGTTAGTCAGATATTTGGCTTCCTTTAGTGATGTTCTATTCTTCCTTTCTTTTCACCTCAACTTTTAAAATTAAACATTTTGGTTTAGAATACTACCATGTATATTGAAAATCTTGTGAAGATAGTACAGAGTTCCCACATACCCTATATCAAATGTCTCTAATTACTAACATCTTATGTTAGTATGGTTCTTTTGTCAGAACCAATCAATATTGGTATTAAGTAACTCCATAAGTTTTTTTAGATTTCATTAATTTTCATGTAATGTACCTTTTATATTCCAGAATCCTATCCAGGACAACACATTACATTTAGTCATCACATCTCCTTATGCTCTTTTTTTTATTAAATATTTTCTTAGCTGTCAATGGGACTTTATTTATTTATATGTGATGCTGAGAATTGAACCCAGTGCCTCACACATGCTAGTCAAGCGCTCTATCACTGAGCCACAGCCACAGCCCTCCCTTATGCTCTTCTTCGCTTGACAGTTTCTTAGATATTCCTGGTTTTAGATGACTTTGACATCAAAGGAAGACTGCTGATCAGCTATTTTATAGAATATTCCTCAACTGAGATTTGTATGATTGTTTTCCTCATGACTAGATTGGAGTTATGGGTTTGGGGGAGGAAGACCACAGGGGTAAAGTACCATTCTCATCACATCATTACAAGGGTAGATACTATCAGTATATCTTACTACTGTTGATATTAAGGTAGTTTGTCAGGTTTTTTACTGTAGAGTTATTCTTTGTTCCATTTTTCCATGTTTCACTTTCTGAGGGCAGAGCGTGTACAGAAATTAATTAGAATTCTATATGGGTAATATTCTTTTTGCATAAGAGATTTGTCTATTTTCACCCATTTATTTACTCAATCTATCATATGTATCAATATGGAATCATGGATATAGATTTTATATTTGCCTATAATCCAATACTATGTTATATATTTTGTTGCTCAAATTGTTCTAGTTTCAGTCACTGAGAACTCCTTCAGTTGGCGTCTGTGTCTTCCTTTGACATACCCCCATTATTGTGCTTATTTATTTATTTTTTTAGTGCTTTTTAGTATTTTTAGTACTTCCTTACTTTCTGGAACTACAAGGGACTCCAAACTCATCTTGCATATTTCCTACCCCATTCTTAAATTCTGTCATTTCTTCAGTGATCCCTGGTTCCTTTTAATGGGAAATGGTATTAGATACCAAGACCTGTATGTTAGATGTGCTCATTGTCACTGGTGTTTCATAGCTTCTAGTTCTTTTAGGCTGACCTAGCAAGGAATTCATGTAATCTAATCTTAATACACATATCTATAAGTATTTCCATATGTAACTATGTATATTTACACTGAGCTAAACATGAGTTTATATAGATGTCTCAACTAATCTATTATGAAACAGATCTTTCCAGCTCTTCCCTATGCTTCTCTGTAAATTTCCATTCTGATAATTAAGAAACCTGGTTCCCACCATCTGCTATCTACTTACTTAATTGTTCAATTCTAGAGTACATGTATAGCAGCAGCCTGAGTTTTTAATTTTTATCCCTGTGGGAAACAATTCTATCAACTAGAGTGTACTGCTAATGTCTAATTCTTTTGTTTTTAGTTTTATATATTACACTTAATTTCAAACTTACTTAAGCTAGCAATTTCACTCATACCTTTTAGTAAGGATGATTCACACATTTGTAATATATTTAGATTATCTTATCATAGCAAGCATCCCTGCTGAGATCCCCCAACCTCCTAATTTTTAAAAATTTACATACATTAAGCTTTTCTTTTCATGTTATAAGTTCTATGAGTCTTGAAAACTGCATTGAGTCATGTATTCATCATTAGAGTATGATACAGGACAATTTCACAACCCCAAATAATCCCCTGTGTTTCATCAATTCAACCTTCCACCAGCCTTATATTATGGCAACTGCTCTATTGTTTCCCATCTCTATAGCTTTGCTATTTCTAAAATGTCATAAATGAAATCATAAAGGATATAGCCTTTGAAAATATGGATCTTTGTATGGCTTTATAGCTCATTCCTTATTATTTCTGAATTATTCCACTGTATAGATGTACCACTTTTTGTTTACCCATTTCTCTA